CTGATCTTAACACATACATGCACATGTGTACACGCTCATGCACGCGCACACACTCACACACATACAGATGGTCCACTGAGGATCCACCACCGCCAAATGTCCAAATTCCACCTGCACTATCAACTCTCTGAACACTCCACAGAATGCCATAAAGCTGCTCCACGTACTCTCTCACACATCTGTCTCTCCATCTGTTGCTTTCTATTTCTCTCCCCATGTCTATTTTAATCCATTGTTATTTTCCTTCCGCATTGAGACACAATCCACCTTCCCCTTGTCTCTCATACACCTACGTACGTACTGTATTATGCAGCCTGTTTTAACGGAGTGTCCTCAAACCAGCAGTTGTCTCTACAGTAAACTCCCGGCTGGCTGCTAATCCACAGCAGCTGACTCAACATCATTAGTCCAGCCTGCCTCGCTCTACATCAGCCGGAACATCTATCTAATGTCCCCAAAAAGCAGTGGGAGCCCCAAAAACAGTTTGTGCGAGTCCCGCAGGTCCCTGCCTTAACAAAGCTCCCCTTAACTGACCCAGTGAAAGCATCTGTTTCTGTGTGTGCATACACACACGCTTTCCTGAACTAAGGCGACATTTAAAAAAAAAAAATGTTTGTGAGAGGATTAGGCGTGGTATGACGGGCACACATTGTAGAAGTTAGGTCATGGGATTGAATTGATTTTGCTTTGTATTTTATGGATTTGTTTAGTTTTTGTGTGGTATTTTTATTTCATGTTTGTGTTGTGTACCAGCAAGGGGGCTGGTCAGCATCATCTGACACCTCAGTCCCTCAATGGGAAAGTATCATTAGATTAAAGTGAGCAGGTTTACGGTCAGACAGAACCTTCTTCCATGGACCTTGATGGTTTATGTGTAGTGACTGTTTGAACTATGCTGTGTGTGAATGTTTTTTGTTTTCCCCGACAGAATGGTTTTGCTGTAGTTCGACCACCTGGACACCACGCTGAGGAGAGTACACCTATGTAAGTAAATTGGACATTTCACCAAGAGAAAGATCAGATCTGGATCATAGCAACTTTACCAGACCTTTCTTTGTCTATATATCTTCCATGTCTATATTTTCCCCTAAAATTCAGCTCCCAACAGAACATACATTTTCCCTCCTCCCTCACTTCTCTTGAAAAGCTTTGTAAGCCTTGTTCGTTTAGACAAATTTTTATATTTAAGCCCCAAAGGGTATTATTTATATATATTTATATATAACCCTTTGGGTTGTAATATTTCTCCTTTCTTGTATATGTACACATTAAAACTTTAATTTAATTTCTGCACAGCACACATCAATGTGTTGATATACTTTCATGATATGGCTGATATTAAGTACAGTATTACTTGTAAATATAATATAAATTCAAAAAAGTTAATACACAGACTTTTTACAGTCCTCTCTCTCTCTCTCTCTCTCTGTGCACCTTCAGGGGGTTCTGTTACTTCAACTCAGTGGCGATTGCAGCCAAGCTCCTGCAGCAGAGGCTCAATGTCAGTAAAATACTTATCGTGGACTGGGTGAGTTCAGCATACCATGTTTATTTTATAACCATCTATTTGGAAAATGCACACCTATGTGTCGTCTGCATAGGTGAGCTCATAGAGTATTCGCTGTTGTTAGATATAGAGTAAGTTGTATTCCCTACCTTGAACTTAGTATGTAAAACATACGTGGGGTTAAGGTATAGTAGCATAATCAAAGAGAAATCACTTCTGCCTACCTTCTGTTGAATGTATTTTTCAGTAGATTTTAATATCAAGTACAATAGATGGTATTCAAATGTATGTGCCCATCAGACCACTGGGTCCACAGCAGTTTAAAATACAAGTGCATTAACAGAACAGCGTTTACAGCCTCTACCAGTATACAGGGCCTGTTATGAGAGGGAGAAAAGGGCTTAAAATATCAGATTTTTAGGCTAGACGCTGTCCTTTTTTCTTTTCAAAAGAGAGACAAAGTAATTTATAAGAAGGTATGACAAAGCCTCGGTCATGTCTAGGAGCACTGCTCTTCTGTGGCGTCCCTGATCATGGCCATTCCCAAAAGCCTTTGATGGGCCTTTTCATTTCCTCCCTGTCTGTCACAGGGGGACTTTCAGTGCAGCAAGCAAACTCTTTGTCATGCCTCTCTGCCTCCAGCCAACTGGGACATTTTTAGGATCAGTGTATTAAAGCATTCTTCAGATATAGACAATGAGGTCATTTAATTGTTGTGTGTTTTATTGAGTCCTGCTGAGCATCCTTTTTTGACATCACAACAGCCTTCAGCTGGGATGCTTGACTTGACTGCTTGGCAGTATTGCAGTCTCTGAGTGTCACCCAGTTGGTCTTAGCGCAGGTGCAGGAGTTGAAAGCCCTGTCTCTGTTAAACTCTTCCATTTTCCAAATCACCTGATGTCCGTTTGTGGACAAGACAGCTTCTGTTATGTGTCTAATGTCTTATTATTGTTTGAGCCATACGAGTCTATGGCTAATTACAGTTGTATTTCCTTCTTTCTCACACATTTCCACACATTCTGAGGAAGATTTTACCCTGAGCTGTTTCCCTTTTTGATGTTTCCAGGATGTTCACCACGGCAATGGCACCCAGCAGGCCTTCTACACAGACCCCAGTGTTCTCTACCTGTCACTGCATCGCTACGATGACGGGAACTTCTTCCCTGGCAGTGGAGCACCTGACGAGGTGGGAAGGAACACCAGTCTGCCTCTCTCCCTGCCTGCCCGCCAGACAAAGTAATCCAGTTGTGCATGTGTGCATGTGTGTGTTGTAGGTGGGCAGTGGAGCAGGTGTAGGCTTCAATGTGAACATGGCGTTCACTGGAGGACTGGAACCTCCCATGGGTGATGCAGAGTACCTGGCTGCGTTTAGGTAAGACAGTGGGATCACCTGCTGCTTTAGAGAGGATTGAATGGTCATGCTGTAGATTGAGTTTGTGATGTGATGATAAATAATTACCCTGAAAGTGTCTTGGAGGGACGGCGGTGTCTGTTCAGTAGGTAGGGAGAGCCTCCTCATGACCTGCCTGATTTCTATAAGGTCCATTTTTTGGGGCTATTTATAATATTTATAAACCCCCCCCCCCCCCCACACACACACACACACAAAAAAAACATACACACAGCTTGAAAGGCCCACAAGCGTGCAGGGATGGACTCACCACAGATGTGTGATGTTCATGTTTCATACGCAATACTGGTTCATACAGCTGGTATGGAGCAGGTCTGGATTGGTTCCAGCACTCTTTGAAGATGATCCCATGTTTGCGACCATGCGCCCTTCTGGCCTGAGCCAGACGCATCAAACCCGACAGGCCTCTGTCTTCTCGCAGCTTTCGGCACGCAACCCCCCGGAAACACACCTTAGCCCGTTAATGCACCCCAGACCCCTGTGTGCTCTGACTCCCCCTCTCTCTACTTTATTCTTTTCTCCCCTCCTTATCTTCCTCTTTCTACCCTTGTGTGCATATGTGCTGATGACAACCAGCTAATATACATATATCAAACCACAGACATTATTTATAATCCATCACTGAAGCCGTATGCCTCACACGCAAGTTTGGAATATTGCTATTCTCCATTTATATTGATACACAAAGCAAACTATTATTTACATAAATCAAATGCACAGTATCTAATAAATCTTAACAAAGTTTAATGAGATGAGAGTTGAGATGAATTTAATATTGAACCTTACATAATTAACAGTGGCTGAATGAAGTGCACCTTGAGCTAGATCATCACAGGTAACCAAATTACTAAATTTCTTTGCTGTCACGGCAGCTTTGGTGCCACAGCTTTGGTTCTCTTTAGTTTAGGTTGAAAACCAAAATACACTTCAGAACAAAAAATATATTTTCTTACACTTTCTATTTTGCACTATTTTGTCATCAATTTATTTAATTGTCTTTTTTCCCCACAGTTCTGCTAAAATACAGTTTATACTTGTTTATTTTAAACTGGGATAAACTTGTTACTAATACATTTACTCTTAAGATTTTTAAGTGTTACTCCAGCAATTTAGTTTTGCAGTTCCACAAAGAGGACTCTCAAGAGACAGATTGAATAAAAAATGGTCAAAGTTGATGCCACGTAATGCAACTTGATACTTCATTAGACACCCACTGCTTCCTAAATGCACTATTCTTTCAAGCATTATACCTCCAGCCCATGCTATACAAAGTTTGGCAAGTCACAGATCACGTTATACAGCTGTTTTTACAGGCTGTGAAGGACTCCTCATGATGACTAAACTGAATCTGTGTGAAATTGTAAATTTAAAAAAGTGCACCATTAACTCTTGTAAGGGTATTGTTGGAGATGTTCCATCTGTATTTGAGCCGATCAATGCATATTTAAGTTAATCAGTAGCGCACTGCTCTCCAGTTAAACCGGCCCACTCTTTTTACAATAAATTCAACAACGACTTTGCTGTAGTAGTTTTCATATGTGGATGTTTGTTCAGGGGTACTTGTATCCATATGAGTGAACATACATGTGGAGAGGTTTGTATTGAGTTTGTGTGTTCTGTTTATGTAATTGTAGGTTATTAAATGTTTTTGCATTATGGAACAGGTTCAAATATATAAAGTGAAGGAGAACGAGAGTTTGGGTGTGTATCACCCAGACCCTGGCGCCATTAATCCCCCGAGGCTGTAGCAGTATTGGACAATTCATAGGCCACATAGGACAGCAGCAGAACTGTCTCACAGTTCATAGATCTCACACACACACTCTGTTTCACACACACACACACAAGTAGTAGACATGTAAACATAAGCTCAAAGAAATGCAGAACGCCCTTGCTCAAAATAACAAAGGTGCATGAACATGCTTTCAATGTGCTTACACATTTACAACCACATTCAGACAGACGCGTGTTCATGGACACCTGAGATGCACAGCCTCTCTCTCTCTCTCTTTCAATCTCACTGTTGATCCGTGTGTTGTAGTCTTCGTGAGGGGATGCGTGCCTTGCAGCCGGCACCTTCCCATTCCTCCACTGGCCTGCGCCACGTTGCATTTGCAGGGGATCAAGTCTGAGCCTCCAGAAAGCACAGAGAAAAAAGATAAGAAAATTGTCCCTAATGAAAACCAGAAGCACCGTCTCTCTTTCTCTCTACTCCCCCCTTCTCCTTTCACTCCCTCTTCTGCCATGAACTTGGAAAGACGAGAGAGGAGGAGAATTAAACTTAATTCAAACCAGCTCTCCGCAGCTCCAGATGACAGGGCTTTGAAGTGTAAGTGTGCGTGTGTGAGTTTTTCTCTCTCTCCCGCTCTCCTATACTTTTTTTTTTTTTATGAACGGAGGGGGAAAGCCTTGCAACTCTGCAATTTAACCCGATGTTGACTGGGTTGATGAGCACTGCTCCCTCTAAAGGACAGAGTCTGTGTTTTCTTCTAAAGCTGGCCTCAAATGGACCTTTTACTGTTTGGGTAATGTTGAATCTTTCCAATGGTGATGGCTCATGGTGTGGGGGCTTTCTGGCCTTTTAACACTTTACAGTCATTAAAAACATAGGAATTGGCTGGTAATGGTAGTTAGCTCAGTCCATCGGGACTGGCTTTGAACCAGAGGGTCGCAGTTTGAGTCCAGCACGGACCACTGCCAAAGCTGCCCCTAAAAAAGGCATGCTCCCTAGATGCTGCTCAATGGCGGCCCACTGCTCCTAATTAAGATGGGTTAAATACACTACTTGCATGCGTTGAATTGTGTGTAATTGTATGTAACAAAAAAGTTGATTGTATCTAGTTAATAACGCACAAGTGAAAAAGTTTCTCTCTCATGTTTGTGTTATGGCCACTCAACCTCAGATTTGTGAATAAGAAAATTTCTAATTACATGTTATATACCATAAATAACTAGTTTATTCTACTGCATGTTAACAAAACAAACCTAAGGAACTAATTTGTCTAAAATCTGATTTGAATGCAATGTGGTACACCACCAATGCCACATTTCGATCCTTTGCCCTCCATGTTACAACCCTGGAGTACATTGGATTAGAAGGAATAGTCAAGATGTGGAAAAGGATAAATGAGGGACTAGAGTAATTACACAAAGATGAGTAGTCTCTAGAGAGGAGGTTTTCCTTGGGCTTCCTTGTATTAACCTGTGTGAGTACATGTGTGTGAACTTGAAATCATGTTGGATGACAGTTGCCAAAAAACTGAATGGGCTCATCATGATCAGAAGAAGAAGACTTAGTTGGAGCAGGGCATGCAATGAGTCTCATCTTACTTAAAGGGGAACACCACCTATTGTACACCTCATGATCAGTTTACCCATCATAGGGAAGACTACAGACTAAGACTAAATAATGTCAGGCAGGGAGATGAGAAGTATCAAATCCACTGTTTTTGGAGCTTGACCCTTGCTGTGCTGATTTTGACCACTCTCTTTTTTTAAACCCGACCTTATGAACGACAGACCTAAATTGCTGAAGTTGAACCACGCAGTATTCCCACACATTGTCACGCATACAAGCACAGGCCCAAGCCCAGTGTTCCTCGACTGATCCTTTGACACATGCACCTGTTGCTAAGTAAAGCAAACAATACTAAACAAAAGTTTAAACTACATGCCTACCCGAGTAAGATCTAGCCATGAGAGAGCCAGCAGTGGTTAAGATCGCAACCTCTTTGCTAGGGCTGGACAATAAAACAACAATTATTATTGCAAATAATTATTTTCAAAAGCAATATGACAAATGTTCAATAAATATTTAATAATGTTATATTCACTTGAATCATACATGAATTAGGACTTAATTTTTTTTATTAAGATGTTTATTTTTTAATTGTTTTGAATGTTCTTCCTCAGATTTGTGAAGTAATCCACTGTTTGGCCTCAAGTGTTGACTATAAAGAAAAGTTTGAACCACAAACGTTCACTCAAAACTTTCACACAAATAATCAGCATTTAAAGAAATAAAGATTTTATTTTTATCGTGATAATTATCGCTATCGAAAGATATGAAACTTTTTATCGTTATAACATTTTTGGCCATATCATCCAGCCCTACTCTTTGCTCAGGATGTCCTGTAGCTTACAGCTCAGTCGTAAACTCTCCCGTCCCTTAATTAACAGAAAGGCTTTTTCATCTCCACATACATAGCCTTTGATTCAGGCACAATTAGTCTTCCCTTAAACCACTGGTTCCCCTTTATGCCTGTCTGCTAATTAATTACTGTGGGGTTTTATTTCTTTAAATGTCAGGATATTACTCTTGGGGTTGGGGGCTGGAACTGAAGGCACAAGCAGTTTTGATCATCGTGACCAGAACTGTTTGTGTTCAAGGTTGGAGGAGGGGGGCACACTCAGTAGTTAAAATATCCTTGGCGGTCAAGGTTTCCCCCTGTGTGGTGTATCAGCCCACATGCACGCCTGTGGCCAGCTCCCTTTAGTGTGGGGTCTTTTATGGCCCAAATGTTAATGGGCCAAGGCTGTGTGTGTGTTTTGTAAGTTTGGGAGTTGGCGGAGAAAGAGCGAGAAAACCTGTAATACATGCGATAAAATCTGAAGCTGGAGCTGAAAGATACTAACTTCTTTAAGCAGAGTGGTTGTTTATTTCATATAATTGTCTCGTTTGTGTTGCAAACTGTCGGGATAACTGATCGTGTTACCTTTTTGCTCTTAATGCAGACAAAATTTTCACTTCTTCCATCCACTGGTCATTCATGTCATTACTCACTCAGTCTTAGTTAATGTTTTCTTGGTGTGGACTCCTCCCCCACAGGTCTCTTACAACCTTGCCCTCTTTCATTTTCTTGCTATCTGTGCCTTTAACTTTGTCACTGAAACGTTTATCTTCCATCCTCTTCCTTCATCTTCTTTACATGACGTTTTCCCCTGTAATGTTGCCACATGCACGCTAACAACACACAGTGACGCACTCACTCCATGTATGCCTGCTGTCTGGGACTACCAAAAAGCTCCTAATACTACTTCCCGCCTCTCCCTCAGACAGCTGTGTGTGCGTATGAGTGTTGTGTTGTGGTGGGGGGTGTGGTGTGCGCATTTATGGGTTATAATTTGGTGGTGAGCAAGAGATGGAAAAACCAGTGGCCTCCGGAGTTCAGGGCACGCTGCTCGCCCACAGCTGGCAAACCAGCACCGTGTTCCTGAGGTCAGCAAAGTACAGGGGACCTACGACGGAACTCTGTGGTACTCTGTCACTCGCAGACCTCACCAAAACACTGCTTGCCCAAACATCCCAGACCCCAAAAAGATTCCTGTGTAGAACCTGAGCGAATAGAAAGAACCACTTGTTTTTCCACCTGGGAAGTCCAACTCTTTATGAACTGACTGAAACATTCTAAATCATGCTAAACCAGATTATCATGACACATTATACTTGTATAAGAAGTCAACTAAGCCTCTAATGTGCCATCCCTAGTATTATAGACTAGTTCAGAAATTCATTACTAATTTATAGATACTAAGACACCCTAAAAGACCACTGGTTTAATCGTATGTGATCTAATCTAATATTCCTGTTCAAAACTATCGTAGTTTTGAACACACACACTGCATGTTATTTATTTCAAACAGGGTCATCATTTAAACCAGACTGGATTTTCCAGCCACAACTTGCAGTGAATCATTACAGTATCCCACTGTTGATTGGATTTATGCGTATGACACACATGACCTCTTTACCAGCTTTGTGTTGGATTAAGGTTGTACACAAACAGCCCTCATTCACCACACCCATCCAGTGTTAGAATTATCCTACATACTCAACACACACGCGCCCTCACGCAATTATATTTGTCCTTCCATTTCTCCTCTTCTCTACTTTACTTAAGGGTGTTTGTAGTGTATTGCTGCCTCCAAACTTCCAAACCCTCCACTTCAAAAAGTGAATGCTGTAATTTTCTCTGCCACACACATACTTTACATACAAACTCATTAGGTGGATGTTTGCTTTGAAAACCATGCAAGGGAGAGAAAAAACATGAAAGAATTGGAAAAATAACGACAGATGAACAGCAAAAATGACATGTAGCATCTCCGGCTGGTTACACCTTATACCACAATCATCATCAAATGGACAGTGAGCACACTGAAGGTAAATTTCCATATACATATTTTAATACTAGTCCTCTTAAATCCCACTAGTCTTTTTTTAGCCATCTGGGGTAACAGAGTTCACTATGCATTTAGCTTGCCTGTAGCAAGTCGATCATTCATTGTACAAACACAAATTAAAAAATGCATATATTATATCTTCTAACATTTTAATTTTGAAATCTTGAAAACATGTCTCATCAAGCAGTAGTTTCTTATGTCTAAACATATTTTTAAGGTATTATATTATAGACAATCATCCTGTCATTCAGCCAGCCTGATAGATGTAGCAGCTGCAAGAATATGTTTTAATAAAAATACAGCATGACTTTTTGATAGGCCTGCTTCAGAAATATGTGACTCAACAGGGCAAATTACTGGTACTGAAAGGGTGACTGCCCCTCAGCCAGCAGGGCCAGATTTAACCTGACTTCTCACCAAGCTTTCCGTTAGTGTTTTTGAGACACTGAATCTTTAAATTCCCTTTGATTTCTGGCCTTCTTGTGAAGGGCAGCAAGCCAAAAACCAGATGCACGCATGCAATTGTTGTCAAACAAAGTTTCCTATATAAAGCCATAATTCTTGGTCAGAGATAGGACACTTAAAAATTAACCCGCCTCTCTTTTACGGCCTCCACCATAAATATATTATTTTTTTGACGTTATGTTTTCCTCTTGGTTACTGTAGGACGGTGGTTATGCCTATTGCCAATGAGTTTGCCCCAGACGTGGTTCTGGTATCTTCAGGCTTTGATGCGGTAGACGGACATGCTCCACCCCTGGGAGGATACAAGTTGACAGCCAAATGTAAGTGCTGATCACAGCTACCCAGTTTTTTTACTTTCTTTTTTTCTAAACCATTGATTAAAAAAATCTTTGAATTGTATCACTGAAGACACATTTTAACTACATTCCCACCACAGTCTCATTCATGTTTTCTCTCCGCACAATCCAACACAAAACTGACAGACACACACGCACAAATGCACACACACAAATGCACACACACAAATGCACACACACAAATGCACAAACACACACGTTTGTTTTTATGCTGTGTCTCTGACTTGTCTATATAGATCGAGACTTTGGCGTGCCAGCCAAGAGCTTTTCTAAAACCATCCTGCAGATCTCAAATAAGAGCAGGGGTCTTGGTACTGATGGGGGTGGTTTAGAGAGGATTTCAGGAAGAGGGGATATGGGTAGAATTCAGAGAAGAAGAAAGTACTGCTGAATGCATCTATTAAAACTCCCATCCTGAAAGAAAAACTTCAAAGACTGTGACCGAGCCTAAACGCAAAGCCACATTTATTGAAATTAAACCTGGCTTATATTATGGCTTGTTGTTTTGTAACTCCAGTAAATCCACAGTGCACTCTTTTCCTCTCTCAGACGCCGTTACCCCTTTTCTCATCCATGCTCAAACCCCCTTTTTCTGTCTGTTTTTCTTTGATCAATATCCATAAAGGAAGTTAGAGATTGAACATCATTGCTCTGCCATCTCATTCTATTTCTCTCTCCCCGCCTCTCCCTCTATGTCTCTGCCTTCTCTTTGCTGTCATTTCCTGTGTGCCCAGGCTTTGGTTACCTGACCAGGCAGCTGATGGTTCTGGCAGGCGGTCGGTTGGTGCTTGCCCTGGAGGGGGGTCATGACCTCACAGCCATATGTGATGCCTCTGAAGCCTGCGTCTCTGCTCTGCTTGGCAATGAGGTAAGATGAGAGCCAGGAGGAGGAGGGACAAATTACCTTCAAAATATCCTCAGAAACCACTGTGAAAATAACCTTGAGCAAGATTGATTTGACCAATGAAAAATTTGGAATTGTGGACTAAATCTGAGCTGGTGACAGATTAAAATGGGACTGAGGTTCACGATGGGAGCAGCATGAATCAGCATATTAATGTAATGGTAATTTCTTTCCAGTGAAACATTCAGATTTATGCCAGTAATGGCATGCAAAGACAAATATGTTTAATTGCATTGAAGTAAATATGCAGGATTTTAAGCAGATAAAGTGCGTCTGGTTTATTTGTGTTGTCAGTGTGAAATTTTCATTATGCAGTTGCACTCCACTTTCTGGCTTCCAGACTACATTTATAGATTTAGGTAATTTTGCCTGTTACAAATGAGTCAACATAGTAATAATAAGAAGAAATTACTTTCCTCCTGATTCATTCTGAAGCTTGAAATCTCTGTCTCTTGTCTAAAACATTTACATCTCAGGAGATTTTGTGGCCCCTGACTGGATGTCTCACAATGAATCAATAGTGCTAAAATGAAATTTTCTTGTCAACAAACACTCGAGCCAGGATGATAAAATGAATTACTAAAACTGCCAAACACAATCAAGGTGCAGGAAAATAATTTGATGTCACTGTTAAATAGATAAAGCAACTTAAAAAAACAGGACAAGCTTGTACATTTCACTGAAACAGTACTTGTTTATGTTGGCCAAAACCATCTTCTCTCTATGTTCTCCTACGCTGTCTTTACCGCTGTTGAGAGGAAGTCAGCGCCACTCACACACACACGCACGCTACGTACTCACAAACACGTCAGAGGGAGAGGATTTCCAGGCAGAAGGTTAATTGTGGGAGTGTGTAGGTTGGGCCGTGGAACTCAACCAGCATCGGCGCTCTGTGATTCATGGCGCACAACAGAATAGCAACTCTTCAAAGCCGCCCACTCTTTTCTTCCAGCTAATGGAGAGGCTGGAGTGCTTTTTTGGACAGGCTGCTCAGTCTCCTTTTCTCCCCCCGGATTATGCAACCAAGATATCTTAGTGCCTTTATTTTTTAAAGGACTGCTGAATTGTGGTACAGAACAAAGATGATAGAGCTTTTATAGGAAAAGAGGAGGGTGTGACTGTTTGTGTAGAAGAATTTACAATGTACAATGCACACTTGTGTCTTGGATCCAGATACTGTATGTCCACTCAAGGCTGCATCCCAAGCCAACTTAGCCAGCTTGTAGTTCATTCTCTAAAGTGTGTCTCCAAAGTCCACAAATCTGTTGCTGTTTTGTTTAGAATCTATTTTATCTGTGAGCACTAATAAACAGGACATAAATGCGTTTGCTTTTTAGGAATACAGACAGATGGGACTTAGATGCTGGGCACTTAAAACCATCCTGAATTATTTTTCAAATTTATCTATTGTCTGAAACTCCATTTGGGAGATGTGTCGTGGGTGATCGGATCTTTCCGCATCCTCGGCGTGCACTGTTTGCATTCAAAACTGTCTTTAGAGTGAATTCTTCATGTGTCAATGGAGTGTTTCACTTCAGTTCAATTCAATGCGAATGGCAGATGCAAATTTCACATGACATGTTTGAGCAGTGCACACACTTTGAAGTCAATTTTCTAATTCACTCCTTGGAGAAATAATGACGAAGGAAAGAATTAAAGAGAGCAAATGGTGTTCTACTTGGCAAAAAGATTACCCTTACTAATCATCTAACACCAAGAATGCCTTGTAAGTTAGAAACACACGTCAAGAGTGAATATCCAGACTGACCTCTCACAAGTACTGCTACAGGCCTAGCCATAAGCACACCCTGTTGGTTGCCAATGGAATGGCTACTGTACCTGCTAAAGCCATTATCTTCAGCCCAGTGAGACAGTGATACTAATGCATATGGGACTACAGTTCTCAACAGTACCTAACTGAGCATAAAGGACGGTCACCGTGATATGGTGTAACAATGTATTGGTGTAGTTCAAGATCGTTCTTGCCATTGTCTTTGTTTCAATATGGCCTAACGTTCGTGCTCTTAAAGGTAATGTTACTTTGCCTAGATAAAATAAAACAAATGTTGTGCTCAGTCTATGTATGTCTTCTGAATTTATTTAAACCTCTATGATTAAAGCAGGGTTAGTGTTCTGTCTGAATCTGTGTATGTGCCTTGTTTAAGGTGGTATCTGCATCCCTAGGTCCCCAGGGAAATGAACAGCTCTGTTTGGAGTAAGATTTTGCATTAGAGGGATAATGCACAAACTAAAGGCTTAAGAGGCTTAATCTCATAACCCAACTCTGTTTACTTGCACGGTTCCCACCAATGATTTCACATCTGAGTAACCGTGAATTAACAGCTGGTAAGGATTCAGGAATTCAAGGACACTTCAGCAGGGCGGTTGCTTTTAGCTGTCACGGAGGTTTGTACTCAGGACTTCCAGTTTGAAGGACACTCTCGTTACTCACAACACCGCCCTGCTGCAAAAATAATGAATTGGATCAGGGGGGTTTGCTTCTTAGGTTTCAGCAGCCTGCAGAGCGCCAGCCTCGGCGGGGGTTTGGAGGAGGTCACTGGATGGGTGCCATAGGGAGCTGAAAATTCGAAAATAGGCAGGAGGCAGGGAGCGTCAATTGCCCCTGCCCTGCAGGACACACCCCTCTCACCTGGGGCCCCGTCACTGGTACACATCTGAAAATGGTTACCCTCACACCTCTTCCAGCAGGGTCAGCTTGGGCCTAAGGATCAGATAATAAAGGGAAATGGAGAAATCATTTGAAGTGGGAAGGGAGGAAACTATTGTTAAAAAGCAGCTGTACAGAGCACCTGTGCAGGTTTTCTATGCTATGGCAATTTAATTATATGCACTTTTTTCAACATGCTTGAGAGTTGTACAACATTGTACAAACAATAGTGAGATATTGTCATTGATTCCTGGTATGTATCGTTTTACATAGGTCATTTTATAAATTGTGCCATTTTTTTTTCATAATTGCAATTTTTAGAATGCAACATGCTTCACATTGATCACCAACCATACTCTGAAGTAAACTTTTGAATGAAGCCTTTACAGTATACAAGTCATATCATGAGCAGCCTGATAGAAAGAGCTGCCTCATTAGAAGAAGATGGCTTTGAACAGCACAAATTTACTGTGTTGTTGACTTGTTAAGTATAGACATAGAGTTCTCATGACGCACTTGCTTTTTGGCAGCGAGTGATGTCAGCTGTGTGAACAAAAGGCAGATCATTCTGTTGTGTGGAGCTTTATAACTGATAGAAAAGGAAAAAAAGAGAGGCTGAAATGTCCCTGATCAGATCAAACGTGTTTTTATCATAATCTCAGCATTGGTCTCTGTAATGGACTTGGAATGTAGCTGGAGAACGTCAGTAATGGATTGACTAGAGGAAGAGATAAAAGGCCTGGCGATTTGTATGTTGTAGTTTTTTTTTTTTCTTCATTTGCTGACAAGGTCCAGCAGTGGCCTCGGATTGCAAATGGAATCAGAAGAAGAGACAAGGGACTAAATTAAGTGTAAGGCCTAAGTGGGCACTGTAGCCTCACTAATCTGGTTGAGCGACAAGAAAAATCTGGACAACAAGTGGCCAACAGTTGGATTCCTTTTAGACATGTTTAAATCCACTGAGTGGGTTATTTCTAGAGGATAAATTTTAGTTTGTGCGTGTGTGTTGGCTGAGTGTGAATGGAGCGAATGAGTAGGCTCAGGCATGGGACCACAGCTGGATTAGCTGGTCAGCTGTGCTTTTGTTTATGAAGGCTCAAACTGCCTGAGGGTTTGTATTGTCTGGATGTGTCCAGAGCCTGAGACGTCACTACGACTATTTAACTACAGCATACAGTGTACTGTAGCTTTTTTTAAAAAGCTGGGTTTAATGATATTATAGATGCCAGGTTAAGAAATCACACATACCTAGTTATTATATAACTAGTGCTTTTGTTGCATGGCAGTCTAAAAAGGCAGATTTTGGCTGCCTTCTCACTGAAGCCAAACATCCTTAAGGTTATCCTTATATCCTCTTTGCCTCCTGTGTAGCTTGTACTTCCAGTGTTTTACTGCTTGCTGGTGTTAGAAATATATCTGTGCTTTTATTGGCAGGTTATTGACAAGCTTTGCTATAATGACCATTTTTTGAAAGTGTCTCAAAATAGCTGGGAAAAAAGAGCACTGAAAATTGCTGAATGGACTTTACAGGCTCTTTTATTCACCCCCACCACTGTAGTGTGTAATCGTGAAGTGTTTTTAGTTAAATAGCTCATGAATGATGCATTGGCGACTCCACTAGTCAACTCTGAACCTGGGACTAATTGATGATTGCTCGCAAACAGATGTTGGCCCAGTTCGAACCGCGGTTGTTAGCAATTATTTGATAAACAACAGGCTAATATGCTAATTGTTACCAGCTGTCAGTGAGGTTATTCGGTGTGTTTACACTCCAGTTACAGTAAGACGCTCGACTTCACCTGTCCCCCCTTGGGCCTGACTATTCACCACCACCCCCCTGACTACAAGGCAAACACCCCTTTCCGAAAAGGTCACCTGCTTTGCACAATACACATCATTACCTTGTTCAGTTAGCATAACATAATCAACCGGTTTTAGTGACCGCCAACATATGTGCATGGACACAACAGTAAACAATGGATGCCTTGTGCACTTTTCTTTTGCTGAACAAGTGGATTTCCTCCTCTTTCCACTGTTTTGGTTTCAGCCTCCCTCAGGAATGTTTTTACCGGGGCACATTCCTCACTCTCGGCTTATGGCTTTCCATGGTGTCTCAGTTTTGTTGGCTGGAACTTAGTGCGTTGAACGGCTGTGTCACACAGAGAAATAGACTTCCTCAAAAATCAGTCCACGTGGTGACAGCAAACCATCCTTAAAGGGCATTTTTCTCCCCGTCTCTCTCTAAAGGACTGAAGCACATCTGATGGTATGATGATGCAGAAGTCCAGGATCACAAACTCAAATAAACAGAAACGTCGCTATGGATGACGAATGCGTGCTCGCATATAGACACGCATGTCTGTGTGTGCGTGTGTGTGTTTGCCATACCTGCCAGGTGGGGGCCCCTGGAGTATCCTGACAAGAGCCATTAAAGTTTATAAGCGTGAGGCCCAGCTGTCAATCAAGCTGACAGGCTGCCCCCCCCCCCCCCCCCCCCAGCTCTGCTTTGAGGTGAACCTCACGAATCCCCGGAGAACCCCTGACCCTGCTCTGACAGGGAGCTGGATCAGTATGGGCTGGGCAGGGCTGAGCTGGGAGAAGCTGTAGGTTGGAGAAGTAAGTTTAGACTAAAAGATTGATGGATTGAGTCCCCTGACTAGCTTGGAAAATGTTGAGATGGGAGTGATGCATAAATACTGCTGTCTCCCCCCTCAGCCATAACCGAAGTCCTGCGTAAAACAATCCCAAGGGCTGTGCTGGTGGGGAACAGTAGGACTACACCATCACTTGAGAACATAATCCATCAGGAGTGTTAACATCTACTGACCACTTTTGCTTGACCTTGCCTTTGTGCTGTTGTACATAACTGATCAAACTAAACAACGCAAGTGCTTTGTCATATGATGTCAGACTTAAACCAATAGAAACATAATACCAAATTTTGCCCTTTGGTGTTGATAGAACAGCAGTTGAGGGATTACTTTTTCCCTCCTGATTGTAACAGTTGCAATGCGACAACGTGAGGTTGAGTTTGAGTGATTACATGGATAAACTATTGAACTATAGAAGGGTTGATGTACAGTCGAGTAACAAAATCTGCAGGTTGGCTGGCAAGCAAATAAGACAAATTAAGCCTGCTCCCCTGTGCACAAAAATTGTATGTACTGTATATGTGTCCATGCCTTTGTGCATGATGTAGCCTGTCGTGCCACAGCAGGATTAAAGTATCCCTCTCCCCAGACTGCCTCTTCCCTCAGCCCCCACGGACCCCTCCCACACACTATTTGTTTTAATTAAAAGAAAACTTTCAGCCTTGGCCAAAGCAAGATCGACCGACGAAGACTTTTTCCTCTGCTCTCTGGCATTCTACTCCCAAATCTCTGGCCAAACCTTTTTTCTTGTTCTCTATGTCTCTCTTTATATGTTTCTCAGTTGCTCCTTTATTCCGTTGGGGTTATGATTGAGCACAAAAGGGATGCATGTCGTCTGTGTTGGAATGCAGAGCTGAATGGGCCTGTTTGACAAAATGGGATGAGAAAGTGTCGTATGTGCAGTCGGCCAGAGGGGAAATTGAATCATTCCGGGTTGGGAAGGCACGTCAGGGAATAGCCCGGTTTCCTCTGAATTGTGGCTTGGAGAGTTTCATAGGCTCAGCCGTGCTCCCCAAAGTGTGTGTTTGAGTGTGTTTCCATGTGTATGCATCTGTGTACAGTATGTGTGCTTAGAGTGGGACACCGTACAAAGCACACATTGTAGTTTGTGTCAAAGAGTAGCAAAGCTCTCGGTGAGTGGGAGGTGCATCTGCAGGCCCATTTTCTATTGTGTCAGCAGCTCGAGCTTGTTCCCCAGCGCTTGGAGTGATTCAACACCGGGCTGTGGTCCACATTCAAAAGTGGTCCTTTAAATAAGGAGGGAACCGCATTAGTTCAAGTGAGGTTTCTGCCCTGTTTTGGAGCAGCTTTTCTGAACACCTGTCAGTGACATTTGTAAAATCCATACCTAGCCGTACCCACCATATCGAAAAATGCCTCATGACATTTATTCCACTTAGCCGAGGTTCTAAGTACGCGTTGATTCAGTACAATGCCGGTCTTCCCTCCCACAGTTACATTTCAGCACAAGTGTTAAATGATCTCAAAGATGTGGCCAGTGGTTAAAATCGTGCAGTGCCGTTTTTGTCTTTTTTTCCCCAGCTTTTGTTAGAAAAAGTTAAGCAGGAAATGTGTATTGATTTTATTTTCTTTTTCTTTCAGTTGGACCCCATTCCTGACGAGGTCCTGCAGCAGAGACCGAATGCCAATGCTGTCCACTCTATGGAGAAAGTTCTTGAAACTCACAGTGAGTGAATTATTTACATCTAGATGCATCAGCCTCTACCTGATGTATGTTACTGACTGATATATTTTGAGCATCTGTGGATATTTATTAATATTTAAAAAGCTCAGTTAAACTAACAAGTTCAGATGCAAAACCTGTAGAGCCACAAACATCAAATCTTTCAGCAATGAACAGCCAGTGTCCCAGTTTGCACAGCAAGTGTTGTAGTTAACTTTTACCCCGTCGTGGTGTTTAACAGGTAAATACTGGCGCTCACTGCAACGCTCCGTCTCCACGCTCGGTTGCTCGTTGAGTGAAGCACTTCGGCGTGACGCAGAGGAAGCTGAGACTGTCTCCGCTATGGCCTCGTTGTCTGTTGCCAACAAGCACATTGGAAAAAGGTATATGGCACAATTTTACACAGATTAAACAAATTAAATCTAAAATGTTAATTAATTAGCTTTAGAGGTGCTGGCTGTTACTTTCGGACAGAGCCAGGCTAGCTGTTTCCCTCTGTTTCCAGTCTTTGTGCTAAGCTAAGCTAAACAGCTGGTGGTGGAAGCTTCATAACTGCTGTACAAACATGAGAGTGGTGTCGATGTTCTCATCTAACTTTCTTAAATAAATTAGCACTTACTTAATATTAAAATATTTATTTTGTTTTTTATTCATTTTTGAAAACAGATTTTACGTAAATCATAATTGTTTTGAATGTTCTACCTGAGATTTGTTGTGGTCCACTGTTTGGCATCAAGTGATAAAGAATAATTTAAAACCACAATAAACCATCTGGTTTCTTCAGCTTTCATTCAGGAGCAAAAATCTGCCTTTTAAAGTTGAAAGCATTTATTAGGATAATTATCGATATCGAATGATATGAAATATTTTATCATGATAACATTTTATATCGCCCAGCCCTATGTACTTGACGTGTTACATTGCTGTATTACGTGTCCATCCAAAAATGTAGCCTTTTACTATCTTTCTTTGGTACTATGTTACTGTACTTTGGTTGTATGCATTTCAGTGCTAATAATAGCTTATACATTCCTTAAAGTATACATTCATTGTACTGTAAGCACATAATATAACAACTTACCTTTTCCCCAGGGCTGAAGAGGAACCAATGGAAGAGGAAGCTCCTTTGTAAAAAAAATCAACCCTAACCTTTGACCTCTCAAACCAGACTTCATCCTGTCAGTGTCAATTTGAATGCTACTCCTATATCTCACCCCTGCCATATCAAGCTGGTATCTTACTGTGGGAGAGAACAAGCAGAGCTGACAAAAGTGGCGCTCAACGGAAAACGGAACACTGAAGATGAGCGATGCGTTCACTGATCAGCAGTGCACAGACTGATCAGCATACATGCGTTGCATTGTCTCCTCAAGACCTTGGATATAAGAGAATAGGCTCAACCAACCCACAGTGACAGCCTCGAGTGCCAGTGCTTTTAAAACACTAGACAAGATGACAGGATGTTCTTTTTGAATGCCAGTCGGACCCATACACAAGACAATCTGTAGTCACCTACTTTTCTTATTGTTCCGTGCTTTATCTTCATTTTCTCAATTTCATCGAAAACCACCAGAGCTAATGTGATTGTGAATATGGATGAATCATTCCTGCTCTTTTACGACATCCAGATGAATGGAACAAAGTGGTTGAAATTCTGGCCGTTTTCAAATTTGGTAGGAGGTGAGAAAACGTTCTGTGCCTTTTTTTATTTTCTTTTTCTTTTAACTTTTCTTTTAAACTCTACTGAAAGAGCTTTGCCTTAAAAAAATAACTTTGGAAACAAGGCGTCTTCTCCTCAACCCCTTAAGCATTTCTATCCTGGCAAGACATCCAATGCCTGCATGTCTTTGGCACATAGACTGGTGGACCTTGGCATGATTACCTATAATTCTCTGCAAGTAGCCTACTGTCTCGCCCCCCTCATTTTTATTAATTTCAGTTTAAAAGGTAGTTCCCAGCTGCAAGTTGGAGGAGGTTCAGTTTAAAAGGAAGTAAAAGGTGTGATTAGTATTACGCAGCATAACCATGGATCAGATAACGTTCAGTAGCCACAAGGCTGGGAGAGGTGGCAACGGACCTGATCATGTAGGCGTCGGCTCTCCTCAGGAGAAGAGCTAAGTAGCATGCACTGTACTAGAACAAGAAGAACCCTATTCATACTGTATTTAGTAGTTACGATAACGAAGCCAAAGCATGATGGACTTTAATCTCTGTAACCGCTTCGTTTTTCACATTAGAATGAGTCTCACATTGTGCAAAGTAGTGAGTGATAGAGAGAAATGAAAATCATATGTGCCAATTTGTTGAGCCAGCCCTCTCTTTAAGACAGCTGTGTCTCTGTGGTAACAATGATCATACCACCTGGGATTTTCCAGAGGGGTGTTCCTGGGCCGCACAGGCTCCCACAGCTGGTTTGACATCTTTAGCTCCTTGTTAAGCACATCTGCTGCCCAAATGTCAGGTGCTGCGAGGCAGGTGTGTGTACATGTGTTCATAGACAGTGAAGCATAAGCTGCTCTTCATAAATATTCAACTGTATACACATATGTTTTATAGTTGTTCAGCTCAGATTCTGCTCTGGATTCTGAATCCTCCTGCAAGGTTTGGTTTCAGAAACATTTCTTCAAATCTACCTTACGATTACGTTTGAATCAGTTATAAATATCTTAATATTTAAGATTGGTTAGTTTGATTATGAATTTGGGTTCTTAGTCTGCAACCAGAGCCCAACCCTTGTAGCCATACTATATACCAGCCATAAGCCTAGTTGTTGTCTGTGTTGGTAGGTTTAACACCATAACCACAATTTTCTTTTCCATTAAAATTAACATTTCTGATAAAACAGTCACAGTGTGCGGACGTTTACTTCCTGTCTGTAACCATCCTTCCAGCTTGTGTTTGGCTCCTGGGCAACTACCTTCTCTCACATTTGTTTCATCTACAAACTAATCACATTTAATGCATTTTTTTTAGTGAACAGGAAGCAGAGTGCTGTGGTGTTTACTGTTGTTTACTGTACATAGGACATATATTTCCTGAGTATTCCTGCCACACACATTTGTCAATGACTACTTTTCCCTCTCGTCCGTGTTTTTTTTCTGGACTTTTGTACTTTTTAATGTGTTCACTTCCCTTCTCCCTCTATCTCTCTGTTACATTGTAAAGCTGACATACTTCACAACAGGTGAGGGTTCAGATGTTGTTTTTAGTGGACATTACATGTTTTCTGGGTTCATGGTTTTTGTGGGAGGGTTGTATAACTTTGTATAATGATGCACAATTGTGTATTTACTGTCTGTTCATAGTAGATTTATATATGAAGAGAAATAAGTATATTATATACATACATATATATATCTATACATAATGAAATACTATGATCTTGTTTTTGAAGTTGAAAAATTATACTTTTCATGGGTCTTACATACAGTCTGCCCTTTTCAGGGTGTTACTGAAAGCCACATTTACTGTCCTACTGTTACAGTTGGTTACGTGTTGAGTAGCATTTTACTGGGTGTCTCTTTCTCCTTCAACACTGACTAGTTTTTGGCTTTATTCATCCCATTGGTACCATAACACTGTTACGCTAGATGTGCCATTGCCATCTGCTCAGCCTTATTTATGCACATATTTGTACTATTCCACACCTTTTTTTTTTAGTCAATGTGTGTAGATAGTTGGCTGGGCACCGTTTGAATATTTTAAGAAATGTGAGACTGAAATTCAAAATGTGGATTCTACACATTTAAAAAATGCCCAAAGTGGTGATCTGTTCCTTCCTCTTTCTTAAAGATTTCCAAGTTCACCGTCTTAACACAAGAAAAAGAAACAAGAGAAATGGAATGGGTGGATTTGAATTGGAACATGGCCATGCTATTCCCCTACATTAAATCAATTTCATGTGGTCATCATATGCAAGACTGTCCTATATCCAAAAGATCACGGGTGAAGAACCAAAACTCTATTCCTAGCTTCTCCTGTACCAGAAGAATTAATATATGTCTTACAGGAACATATATAGCAAAAGAAATCTGATTATATTGTAATATGCCGATTGACATTTTCTAAAATCTCAATCAGACATTCAATTTTTTTCCATTTTGACTGAATGTATCTGGGCTCTACTGGCAGAGTGGGGCTGCATCGCCCTGCCGACGCACCTCTAACGTCACACGTCTCTAAATCACCTCCATGGTTTCTGCAGATGGGCCAGAGAGTCCAAAGTCAAGACTGTTTCATGCTCGTGTCATCGACTACTTTGTAAATTTACCAGAACAAAGGAAAATGTGTGGAGGTGAAGCAGTGCTTGCAGTAACTTGCATGACATGAAGCAGGTTTTACACTAGTACAGAAGAGATAACTGAGGTTTAAGCATTTGTTTGAATCACATTTTTTACCGTATTTTATATGGTTTAAACTCATAGATGTGCAAGATGTGTGATTTTTCTGTACATTCCATTTATATCATTATATGGTAAAAGATTTGTTTTCCAGGACTGTATTCACATGATCGTGGTACTTCTTCCACATGGAGGTGTTTGTGGTTGGAAAATGAAAACGCATGTAGTCAGGTTATCCTGAATATCATCTTAACTTGGATACGCAGACACCTCTGTGCATGTAAACACACTTGATGAGATGCTTTTCAGCAACCCAGCCTAGAACATTCCCAGAACCTTTTCCTAACAGTGCCAGTCACAGGGTTTGTACTGCTGAATGCTTTGGTTTCTCAAAAGGAGCCAAAACTAGCACTGTCTGGCTGTTCTGACCGCCTTCACTGTCTTAATACAACGTCCAATGATGAAAAAGCAGCAACATTCCATTTATTATAATTTCCATTTATTACGAGGGGACATATCTTCTTGTTTTAACCCTCTTAGTTCAGTCCGGCCAGGTCCAACAACTATCTGTTTATTTAGGTGGCCTGGTCCGACTCCACTCCATTCCTCTTTTCTCTCTGCATGATCCGTATGTCCGCATGCTCTGCCTACCTGTCTGTCTGTCTGTCCGCCCCGTACCACATATCAGCACAAGGGATCGAGCACTGAAGGATGTTAGTACTTTCACTGTATCCAAACTGGCTTATCTCTTTTACTGCTTTTTTGTTTATGCTGGGGGAGGAGTCTGGGTGCCTTCCATGTTGTGCTTTTACCTCTAGGATATGGAACCATCAAACCTGGAAGACTTCAGTTGAATAATTACAAAAAAAGGAAAAAAAAAAACAATTTAGCACTTGTAACGCAGACAATAGATTTCCTTGTATTTATGTAGAAAAACAAATTGTTTTAGGGGGACGCTTTGTAAACCGCAACAACAGAATAGACAGACTTTTTTTGTACCAGGCAAGATGAGAGTTTGGTGGACTTTTGGAAGGACATTTTTGTTCTTTGTTACATCTGGACTTACCAAAGGGCTCGATCCAGATGCCTGGTCATTGTTACGGTTTTACATTCTACTAAATAAGCCAGTTATCACTATGACCACTGTGGTTCAAAAACAGTTCTAGGTTTACATATGTATAAAATGCATATTCTTTTTTTTTTTTATCAGTTATGTTTTTGACTTGTTCCACGATTGTTACAGAAATAGTGCATTTTTCTTGGGAACCTTTGCTCTAACATGTTGTCTTTGACATCTACAATATAAAGTATTGTTTTGGAAAAACTGAAATGTCTGGGTTTTTTTTTTTAATTAATAGTGTTAGTTGCTGATTTTAATTTGCAAAGAATAGGGTTTTTCACGGTCAGACATGAGGGCAGATGTGAAGGGATGTGTCCTCACACAAAAAAAAAACAAAAACAGCATTGTACTGTAACAGATGAAAGATCTATGCACATAGGCTTGTCACACTTATTTAACTCCTATAGGACAGGATCTCAATCGATCCTGCCAAAACCATATCCTCCTTTTTTATTCCACACATTTTTCTTCCTTGTTAAAAGCTGGCAACTAAATTACCCACAATGCACCTTGACCACTGACAGGCTGGTTGAAAATTCGAGTGTGTTATGCTAGTAGCGGATAATGTAGCCTCGAGCTGCTATCCTCAAGCAGAGATAAGGGGAATCTGGCAAGCTCACTTCTTTCTAATTCACTCTGAGTTTCTTTGATCGTTTCCAAACTTGTAGTCTTCAGCCCCAACCGATGAGATATCGCTTGAGGCATTTTATCAGACTTTGCGCAGCTCCCTCTGGAGTTGCAAAATGATATTTACAGCTTTTTTTCCCCACATATGCAGTAGTACTCCTGTAAACAGGAACCTTTTATGTGTAAAATCGGTGGAGTTCTCCTTTAAGTCCAGAGGGAGGCAGCATTGCAGGCAGCAAGGGCCCCACAGTAGCTTTGAATGGGATTAGCCACACATTTGGAAAGGTCAAAGGTCTGAGCTAGTGTCCAAATAAACAGCAGTGAATCCCTGTTGGTTGTGGAACTAACGCTAAGACCACAGTCCAAAAGCAAACAAAACCAATCCTGCCTTACCTCCCCTCAAATAAACACACATTCCACTGCTTTCCTGTCAAACTCTGAATTTAGAGAGTGACCGTGTAAATACTACCGCTGCCCCCGGCTTTGTAGGCTCGTCACAGTCTCTGTAAATCATGGAAGCTTGAGACACCATGCAGTGTCAAAGGCAAACGAAAAGGAGCACATGTCTGGTTCCTTGAGAGAATAAGGTTAAACGGAGTCATGAGGGACAATATTTACCATCCTACAGATGCTGAAAAGAGCTCCGACGGGCTCCCTGAAGTGAAAAAAGAAAAAGAAACAAAAAGGATGACGTTAAAGCTGGAAATGTGACCTCTTTATGGTTCCTTGGTGGCGGGGGACGCTCTAACAACCTCACTCGGGACACACAGACTGCCCGTCTCACCTTTAGCTCACCGCGGGCGTCGACACGTTCGTCATCTCTGCTATGTAGCGACACACGGCTCCTTTGACCCCTCAGTAAGGTCAGGTCAGAGGAAAGGTGGTACCCTGCTATAGCTGAACTTTCCCCCTCCTTGAAGGCCAGCCCACAAGATGGCCGCCTCTTCGCCACAGCAAAGGACTGAAATGTCAGTAAGGATTGAAATCTGGGAAAACCCCCCAATCTATTTTCCCTCTCGTTTTCCCCACAGTGACATTCTGGTGTGCGGCAGCTCTCTTGCCTTGCTCATCTTCTTGCAGCGTTGGTCGTTGTCAGTTAGATCTGTCATTATCCGGCCACTGGTACGCGTAAAAAAAGGCCTCATCCTCCCAGCTGTGCTCATCACAGCGCTTTTTAATTGCAGGTCTGACTGACTCGAAATGGCAATGAGGCTTTGGCCAGCTGGCTCGGATGCCAAATAAACTAATTACAGATGAGAGTCATTAGCATCAGTTTTGGATCGTCAGCACACACAGGCAAGAAAAAGCAAAGAGTTGTAACAGATCTGCAACAAACACGCGTGTTGGTATCAGAGGTGGCCCAGTTAAGTCCATGTCAAGTCTTGGACTAGGAAATACTTTGCACAAGTAGGTTTCATACAAATTCCGTATTTAATCTTCAGTTTCCCTGAATTTATTTTATTCCAAGCATGGATTTTGAAACAGTGGAAATGTACATGAGGGAGTCTGTCGCCGTTCGCTGTTCTTTCCATCAGATGTTCCACCAGTCCAGTTGGGACTTTTGATCCATAGTGTATCTGAAAAGCTGTGCAGCGTTTGTTTGCCTTGCAGCTGTGGCCCCATCCACACTACTGTATTTTAGTTTCAAAACGGAGACCTTTTGCTGTGTTTGCACCTCCCATCCAGACTAAAAAAGCAAAAATGCAGAAAGTTTGACAACGCTGCCGCCCCAGTTTTCCGTTTTGAAACTGCGGGTAGCGTTTTAGTGTAGAGGGGCAAAAAAGGAGGACTTTAGAAACGATAACGCGGACGCTCACGCCTCACTCTCTGATTGGGTCTTATAAGTCATGCAAAGCATAAACACTATGCTACTGACAGAGTTTTTGATTTGGTATTTTTATTAAAATTAGATTTTGATTCATTTTTTAAAAATCTCTCTCTACAAGCTATCAGGCCTTATCAAGAGCATGCTAAACCACCAGTGACCTGATACTGCATTTCCACGTGGACAAACGGAGAGAAAATCACAATTTAGAAAATACTCGTGTTTGTGTAGACAGGGCCTGAGGCTGGGTCACTGTCAGCTTGGGTGTAAAGAGTATGAGCGGCGATGCAATGTTCAGTGACGGTTCGCTACACAAGCTGCCAACGATTCCTTTGCATGATGTTAAAGATTAAGTATGAAACATAAAACAAAAACCCTGCTTCAATTTATTCATGTTACAAAAAACAAAAAACAGATCACAATTGGAGCTAAAGGAGGAACGAGAAGAGGGGAAATGACACTCTCCTTTAGGCTAAGCTGGCGAAGAGAGGTTAGTTTTTTGGGGGGGAACACATTAGATAGTGAATGGTATTTCCCTCAAACCAACGTGACCCAAAGTGATCAAAATATCTTCTATTTGTAGATTAAGTAAAAAAAAAAAAAAAGTACTTTAGAATGTATTTTTTGTATTTAAACATTTGTATTAAGTTAAATCGATAGTGATGGACCCTGGCACCATGAGGTCCTACTAGCTTTTTTTAGATGATAAATGCATCTCATGGTCTTCATCAGCAGATGGAGTTTGCTCAGTTGTCACGGAGATGGATTTGTTTGGATGAAGGCCATGAGATGCGGTCAAAAGCCTGGTGGGGGGGGGATTGATATGTCAAAAAGTAAAGTCGCAATAGATCAGATTTTGATAGGCAACTGGCTTCTCTTTCATTCTCAAGAGAATCAACTCTTTGTTTGCTACTTTTAAACAGGCATTATCTGTCTTGAAGTGTTTTTAGATTAAAGATGAGGTTGCATTGTTTGGATTTGACATAAAAAGCCATGTGGTTGTTTGTAGATGGCTTTTATATGTTTTGAACCCTGCCACTAGGGGGATTCATCTAACAGCCTGAACCACCATATGTAGACTACAGTATGTTTAACTATTGCATGGCCTTTAGCCTCAAACTACATTGTTACATGATTCTCACTTTTAAATGTGCTCTGTTAGGATACCTTGGGGATGAGTCCTGGGACATTAAGACAAGTCAGTTGAGTGTTTTTAAAGAAGTGTAAACATGTGCATCCTTTCCTGCAGTGAAAAGAAGTGACAGAAGCTTTCCAATTCAGTATTGCGGCCGCTTTTAGTAAATAATTACATTTTGGCTTGAATGAAATGTAAGTGAGTTAACCCCGTGTCCTTTCACGGCGTGAAAGCACGAGTGAAAACAAAGGTGAGTAAATAAGAGTTGGCTCCTGAACTGGCGTGACCCACTGGCCTCTGCTGACCCCGGCGGTCATCACTGGTGCTAATGAAGAGGAAAGGGTGGCGGGGGGGCGGGAATGTTGGCAGGTCACCCCACAAACATCTCCGTCTCCTCCACAGCCTGGAGACGAATCAAGTTTCACAACCGAAGGTGAGGAGGATGCTGGGAACTGGGATAATAATTTTGATCATAAAACTTCATGATGAGCAAAGACAAGACACAAGCTAAGAAGTAATTCTGTAATGTCTGACTTGACTCTCTGAGTTTTTGGCAAAGAAACATTAAGCATGCATCTGAGAGGTGAATGATCAATTATTACTGTTAGAGGTACTGTTTGTGTTTGTTTGCAAATACAGTAAACAGTAATGCCTTGAAAAATGTTCCTGAGATTACATCTTCCAGCTTGTCCTTCATCTGAACTGGTGAGCTAACATCACTGGCGGCTAAGTTCAGTGTTGTTAGCTCTTAGGTTAGGTCT